CATGAGGCGCGGGGGAGGTGGCTGGTGGCCTGCTCCATGCTTGAGGCCTTGCACTCTATCATCAAGATGAGGGAGGAGCACATGACCTCATGCTGGCTCAACAGCTGGTCCCAGGGGGCCTTCCACTGCTCCTGGTCAGCAGCCTGCTCCTGGCATTCCTCCAGAAGTTCCCGGATGAGGGACTGGAGGCAGGCTATCTGCTCCCTCATTAGGTCCTCCCAGGTTTTTTTCTTTCTGTGGACCCTGCAGAGTCATGCAGATGGCATAGGAGGTGGGGGATGCACCATGCTCACAGCTCGTCCAGTTGTGAAGAAAAGTTACAAGGACAGTCATCCCAGGAGACACTGTATGAACCCAAGCCCTAATCTCTGAGCTGACACCAAAGGTATCAGTTCAGATGATGGAAATGTGCTTTGAGCAAGGCCATATGTTGCCTAGACAGCAGGCACATTCCTGCAGGGGCATGGATGTCCCAGAGGAGTACTGCAACAACCATGGCTTGGGGACAAGCAGGTATGGGAAGGTGCTGGCCAGGCCAGGAGCATACGAGTGGGAGGGGGGACGAGACAGGTCGGCTTCCTTCTGTGTCCCACACATGCTGGGTCTGGCACTGGTGGCATCTATCTCTGCTTGCTGGAGGGATGTGTGTGTTGGGAGAATTGTGTGTGAGTGGCAGAGGCCGCTTGCTGGAGAGAGTGCTACTGTGGTCCACCCCTCTTCCACCCTCTGGCAGGTTCCCCTGCTCAGGATCAGTCTGCTCCACATTTCCCGCTTGCCAGATGCTGCCTGAATGTGGGTATGAGCCCATGCTGTGTGCAGCATTTCTGTATGATTCCATGCCCCCAGCCCTCTTAGTGGTGGCTTGTCATGAGAAGGTGTCCCACCCTGGAGTAAGGCAGGCCTGTGCAGGAACCTTGTGAGAAGGAGCGAGGGGTTCCTGTGTAAGAGCGTCATGGAGCTGAGTGCTCCGGACTGGCACTCTGTGTGCACTCACATGCACAGGCTTTTGTGCAGCCCCCAGGCTGAGTAGGCCAAGTGAGGAGCATGCAGACCCTCACAGCCTGCTCCAGACCTGGTTGAGGGTCCAGGTGTGGCCTTTGTCAGTAAGGCTGGAGCCCATCGAACTGTAGACGTCTGTATTATGCTTTCTGGTGAGGAGTTCCTGGAGGATGGTCTCCTCCCGCCAGATATCAATGAAGTCCAGGATCTCTGCACGTGTCCAGGTCAGAGCTCTCCTGCATTCTTGGCCAGTGGCAGCTGAGGGGGCTGCGGGAATGCTGGCAGCTGGGAAGGGGCACTCAGAGGTAGCGGTGGAGCCTGCCATGGCTCCTGGGATATTGCTGTGTGGCATGGGGCTGGCAAAGGTCTGCATGTGCCAAAAGCCCTTCTCCCACAGCCTGCTGCTGTAACCTCTGCAGGAGAAGGGGAGCAGTGGAGCTGGCAGGAGTAGCCAGAACGGCCAGAAGTGCAGCCGTGAGAGGCCTCTGGAGGCCAATTATTTCGAATTAGCAGCACTGGAACATCCTTACTTACGCTATTTTGAAATAGCCATTTTAAAATAAGCGTTATTCCCTGAGAAAAGCAGGAGTAGAGATTTCAAAATAACCAGCCCTTATTGCTTGTTATTTCGAAATAAGGGCAGGAGGGGGTATTTTGAAATAACTCCCTAGTGTAGGCCAGGGCTAAAAGATCTCACTGTCAAAACATTTTTCTTGATTCTTCAACTAAAGTTTTCCCTTTTCTAATTTCATCCCTTTAATCCTATTCCCTCATACTATTTTAGATTCCCTCTTTTATTTGTGTTTACACCCTTCCAATGTTTGTAGAGCTTATCCTATCCTTGTCCTTTAAACATCATTTAGACAAGACATCCATATCTGACTATTTTAATGTTTCCTCATAAATCAGCCCTCCAGCTCCCTAATTGTATTTGTTTTATTTCTCTGAACTCCTTCCAGTTTGGCACTATCTTATTGCTAATGTGAGGCGCAGACCTGAACAAAATGTTCCAGGTGTAGTCAGATGAGGAATGTATAAAGATGGACTGTTTTTCCCCTGTTCGGTGAGATGATATCGCTGGGGTGCAACCGAGATTTCATTTGGATTGCTCCTGCTGATAGCCAAGATTTTTAGAACTGCTAATGCCTCTAAATCCCTATTTCAGCACCTCAATGGCCTGTTTTTTTTAAACGTACTAACGTACTGAGCAGCCAACAATTCTCACTGCAGTCCCTGTGAGCTGCTGGGATGTACTGCTTTTAGTAAACGAGGTCATTTATTTAAATGCAAAAAGAAGAGCATGCAAATTTAAAATTTGAGAGGTGAATATTGCCTTTGGATTCGTCCATTTGTTGAGTACCCACCGTCAGACACTTAATTTTTGGATGTTCAACATGTTCTGATAATTGGGATCGTTAAAAAAGTGTCAGGTTAGGAACTGAATAATTGAGTCACTCAAAATCACTAGCCACTTTTGAAAAACAGCTATTTTGTATATATTCAATTTCCCTATGTGTTCCCTTACCTGTTCTTTATCACTTTCTCAGTGTAACCAGCTCTTTAGATTTTATTGTCTTGTTTTCCTTGACTCCTGAGTTCAATTTATGTGAGACTCTTAGCTTTCATTTTAAAATAAAATTATATATCTTGACCTCCTGTTTGTATAAAAGAAGTGTGAAAATGTGAACCAGAAGGCAAATAAAAAGAACCCCAATTTTATATTTATATGTTTATTATATTTTTTTAAATCTCATGATTTTGAAGAAAAACTTATAATTTTGCATTGGAGGGACCACTCCTGATTTTTTTTTTTCATTTTTGGGCTTGGTCATTTCTAATGGTTCCAACTGTTATTTGTTTGACAGCTTTAAAAAAGAAGTTGTGTATCGGCCATTTTTATATCTTGTTTTTCCCTTTGATATTTTCATACCCTCTGCTCCTTGCTTTCTGAACCTTTCCTCTTTCCCCCCCCCCCCCCTATTTATTTATAAAAGCTCTCCTTATTCCTCTTAATTCTTTTGGCTAGCTTTAGCTCATTCTTCTGTTTTGCTTCCTTAATATTTTGCCCCTAGTGAAATAGTTTGACATAGTGTCCTTCATGCCTTTTCAAAGTGTAGTAGCTTTTATATCCTGTATAACTGCTGGGTGGTAAATGCCAAAAACAAAATTAAATGCATCTGTGCTTCCCCAGAAACACTTTTTATAGTTGCCTTCTGGCTAAAAGTTGGATTCAGGTATTCATGTTCTCCATTCTTTGGGGTTGCTTCTCTTTGGGTTTGCTATAGTGCTGCCCTTTCAGCACAATCATGAATACCCTTAATTTGAGTTCTTGAGCAGTGAAGAGGTATATGCATGTATACTCTCCTACAGCAGTGTTAGAAGCACTCATGGGACATTTCTCACCAGGGTTGGGGACAGGATGGGGTCTCTTCCCATTCTTGCACCCAAACAAGCAACCCCAGAAAAGTGATGGTTACACACCAATTTCATAGTACAGCAAATTCCATGCTTTCCTTACCATTTCAGGAGGCATTATGCCTTGAAGGAGCATAATGCTGCCAAGTTTTGTCTAGTCAGGAAAGCATTTTCCTCAGAGTAGCAGTGCCTCAAAAAAAGGGGGGGGGGGCTTTATTTGAGTCTATACACTCAGTTGCTGATCTCATTTACCTCCATGTAAATCTCCATAAAAGCACTTGACTTTGATCGAGTCTCTCTTGATTTACACCAGTATAAAAAGGCCAGAATCTGGGCCCATTGTGTAGCACAGATGTTAAGACTAATGAGAACAGCAGCTGATTTGGATTCACAGTTAATTCAATTGCATATTTTTGCTTTCACTTAACCACTGTGATCTTAGTTTTTAATAACCATTTTTGGGGGATGGAAATTACATGTAAATCAATTTATAAAATTCTTTTTGTATGAAAACATTTTTCTTTTCATTTTAAGAGCAGGCAACTGGGTTTATTTGAGGGCAATAATTCTCCATTATTTTTCACTGGTAAGTATCAGGTGGACAGAGTTACCTTTTGCACCCAGACGAAAAGTCATCTGAGCCCTCTATAAATAGGGCTTGCCTTCATTATTTCTCTGATCTTTGAACCAGATGCCATGAGAGAGTCTGGGATGCCTAGAATACAGCAAGGGGTGAATGTCTGACCCCCAAGTCAAAATTCCCATCAACTTCAACGGAGGCAGAATTTCACCTAAATTGTTTAATCTTCCAACTGGGACTAATGGGCCAAATCCTCAGCAAATCTCTGTTGACGTCAGTGGAGCAAAGAGATTTACTCTAGCTCAGATTCTGGAACCATATTAAGAGAATATAGCAACACAGGATGTAAACAAATGTGTCATAAATAGAAAGTAGAAGATGCTTCTGAATACTTTACAATGTGATTATGAATAGTCAGATGGTTATTTTAACTCTGAGAGGGCTGAGTTGTATAACAGACATGTTGGATGAGGGAAACCTTACAGTATACATCTGAAATAACTGGTAACAAACATTTCTATCTTCTTATTTCTTACCTAAAACATCACTTATCTGCGTTCTTTCAAAGAGAGAGATTGGAAGGGGTTGTTTGTTGTGGATTTTTTTCTTACTGAAAGTACTTTCCTCTCATTAAAAATGGTTTAGGGTTCGCTTTAATCCTTTCTATTAATATTTTGAAATTCAGGAGACACTGGTTGAATTTTTTTTCTAATTTAATGAAATTTCAAATTTAGAAATTCAAGGGTGATTAAAAAAAACAACCCCAAAACTCAGAGAGTCTCTTTTCCCGTCCTATTATTCTTCTATTTATTTTAGAGATGGCTGAAAATTTTCCAATTTCAAAATTATGTTGAAATTTTCAAATTCAAAAATACAAATGGGGGAAGAGGGGAAATCAGTTATAACTTTACTTAAACTTTTTCCCTTTGTTTTTTTTTCCCCACTTCTAAAATTCACCTTTGTACAGTTCTCTGATACTTGTCTTCACCTTTGTGTTTTGCATCAGGAGGAAAAAGAGAAGCTAACATGGAGAGATCGTATGCCTGGCTATTTAGTGAATGTTGCATCCATTTTATTTATGGTAATTTTATTTGTATTTTCTTTCACATTCATCTGGATTGTAAAACTCTGTGAACAACATCCTCCCAAAAGATGAATTAATACACTCACAGATAGAAAAGACTTTTCCTATTTTATACTTAAGAACTTTCCTATAGACAACAAAATATATAGACTGGTGTTGAGCTGCAAAGTTTGATACAATCGTATTAGGAAAGTTTGGCCAATAGCCGTGCCAATATTTTGTCAATGACATGATAGGTTGAGAACCATGGATGGTCTGTCTAACTACATATAAACTGAACTCACATAACTTGATCCTCAGCTGGTGTAAATCAGCAATGAAAATATGCCAGTTTACACCACAGAATTTTACTCCAAAAATTAATGTAAAATACTATCTTGGCCATAATATATTAATTGACTTGAATGGTGTAAATATTACAAAAATTTCTCAAGGATTATTCATTCAGAAGTTTAAACTGGGCATACTTCTGTAACAGTCACAGTAATTTTGTGTTCACTTTCACATTGTGGGTGTATGTGGGTAGCATCTGTAATTTTCAATGGTTAAGGACTTAGTGGGTATAGTAGGCCATATTTTTTTTTAGACAGAACTGACTGATTTCAGTGGGGACTTCTGCTCAAAGAGTGATGACACAATATGTTCTGTTTTGCACAAGTAACTAAAAAGCAACTGTGTTTTAACCTGTTAGGCTCTTCACTTGTGTCCACTTGTGGGATCATATAAATGTCGACATGTGCTAGTTTTAATTCAGGAATTAATCAAGCCAAAAAGAGAAATTTCAGCTTAAAGCAAAAAAAGATGAGTGAAAAGGTATAAAAAAATTAGAACTGATTGACTCTCAAGTGTAACTACATCATTACTATCAATGCTGTAATACTTAGCGTGTCCACAGAATAAGACCCTTTCTTAATAGAGTGTCTTCTTTAAGATGAGTGCTTAAACATACACTTACAGGGCTAAAATTAAGCATGCTCTTAAAGTTAAGATTGTGATTGTTTTCTTGAATCAGGCCTAAATATTGTTTCCCACGCTTTGTATAATATCCTAGACAGAATTATCAAGGTAAAATGCAAAGCACCAGATCCTCAGTGGTTGCAAACCAGCAAAGCTTCATTGTTGTAACTGGCGCTGTCCAAGAGAGCGTTTTCTAGAATATTGTGGCTCTCATTTAGAATGAATATCTGCCAGATAGCAATAGGGTTCCCAATTTTCTAATCACACAAAACCAAACATCCTTGTTTTGTCTCTTTTCTGAGGCCACGCCTCATGCTCACTACACCCCTCCCCCCCATCCATTGCCCTCACCTTCACTCATTTGCTCATTTTCACTGAGCTGAGGCTGAGACAGGGAGATGGGGTGGCAGACCACTTTTTCAGGTCAGCCTTATTTCTACCAGGAGATAAAGATGTCATCTTCCTGGCTTCAGCCCCACAGAGTAATGGGAGATGGTGGCCACTTTAAATAAGAGAAACTTTATGAGCTGGTACCTCCTATCATGTTTTCATGCAATGAGAAAAAATCATACCAAAGTTGCTGGAGTACCTCACCTCCAGTACCCTCTGTATTTTACACAAGGTCCCCAGTAAGCATAGACTCAGATTCAAGGTCTCTGGATTAATCTTCAAAGCCTTTCATGGAACTGGCTGAAGCTACTTCAGAGAATTCTACTTGCTTCACAATTAAGACCTCTGTCAATGGTGTTTCTTCCTCAGGTGCTATGAAACTATACCATCTATTAGGCGAGGCTTGTGACAGTAGGGGCTATGTCTACACTACAGAGCAAAGTTGTAAAAAGATACTCAAATTGCAAAGTGAAATTTGCGTATCTTTTTCTGCTTTTTTTCTGAAAGAGGCTTTTCCGAAATTTGGCCCGTCTACACAGGGCCAAATTTAAGGGGAAAAAATCCTCTTTTGAAACATCCCTTATTCCTCTCACCAAGAGGAATACAGGGATGCCGAAAACACTTCCGCTTTTTCAGAAACAGTTCTGAAAAAGTGGATGTGTTTCTTAGATGCAGCAGAGCTTTTCTGGGATCCCTTGGTATCTGGGATAAGCTCTGCAGTCTAGACATAGCCTAGGAGACCATTCTGCCTCAGCCTTTGCAAACTCGTTGCCTGATGAGATACAAATGCTCCCAGACCGGACCACCTCTAGAACAAAGCACAAAAGCTCACTCCATTGATTTAGCTTTCAACCCAATATACTAAAAATATCTAAGACACAAAGTGGCAGAGAAAAGGGACAGAGTAAAGGAGTAGTAGGAAAAAGAGAGAGTGAAGAAAAAAATAATTTACTAAAAGGTTAAAAACACAAAAACCTCCAACTGCCTCTGGAGAAAGGGAACAGAAACATTAGATCAGTTGGCCAACTGTGATTTGGATTTTTGGCTCTTAGTACTCGGGAAGTGCATCAGTGGGTTCCTGAATTTAATTACAAACTATGTGGAAAAAGTATTTCCTTTTATAGGATTTGAATTTCCCATCACTTAGTTTCATAGTACATCCTCTTGTTCTTGTGCTGCTCTAGTTTCTAGTCACTTAACACAATTTTGGGCTATAATTAAATATTTATTTTAAAACTTTAGTCAGATATGTGCACTGATATCTCTGTACATTTCTTTGCAGATTGCACTGACCTTTTCAACTGTTTTTGGTGTGATTGTGTACCGAATTACTACCGCAGCCGCCTTGTCCATCAGCAGTAATGAGTCAACCAGGTCAAATGCCCGTGTGACTGTGACTGCAACTGCTGTCATCATTAACCTGATTGTGATCCTTATATTAGATGAGATTTATGGAATTGTTGCCAAATGGCTGACCGAAATGGGTAAAGCTATTCTATCCCTAATGACAATTTTGCATGTATTTCTAATAGAGTATGTGGGAAAGTTCTAAAAGGAAGATTTCCCATAAAGGAGTTCCGTAAAAGAGGAAACATTCTGGCTCAGAGGGTAAAAATGTGCCCAAATGATTTAGGGTCCTATTTCCAATTTTTCAAAAATTATTTCAGGCCAGATTTTTAAGGACATTGGGGAGTCTAAGTCTCATTGAAAATCAGCTGGACTTGGGCCTTGCCTGCATTAGAAAATACACGGATAGAGCTATACCAGTAAAATTATACTGACAAACCCTCCTAAGGGAGAGTTTCTGTACTGGTAGCATGTATGCCATTTCCCCAAACCAAAATAAACCATCCTGGCGAAAGGACTCCATACCTCAGTTTCCTCTCTTACGAAATTTGAATAATGGGTCAGATCCTCAAATGGTGAATGTCAAAGTAGCCCCATGAAACTCAAGGATCTCAGGGGAAACTGCCCTGGCCCTAAGACCAGCAGAGCTCTCTGCTCCTGCTGCCACTGCCTCAGGACTTGAGGTGTCATCTGCTGCCCCCAGGAGCAGGACTCTTTTGCTCTAACAAACCCCGGGCTATAATGAATAATGTCTTGGATTCCCAGGGGTTCATTATATAAACTGCTTCATTTATATAAATGCATCATTATAAATTGCATCATTATTTGCACTTCTAATAGCATCCTTGCCCAACAGAGGTCCAGTTGTAAGTAATGAGATACAGCAGCGTGTTTTTTACTGCTAGGGCCAGCCCAACTGTTTAAATTTGACTCCAATGAATACAGGCAGTCCCCGGGTTACGTACAAGATAGGGACTGTAGGTTTGATCTTAAGTTGAATCTGTATGTAAGTCGGAACTGGCGTCCAGATTCAGACACTGCTGAAACTGACCGCCTGTTCTGACTTACATACAGAATCAACTTAAGAACCCCAGGCGTCCCCAAGTCAGCTGCTGCTGAAACTGATCAGCAGCTGATTCCAGGAAGCCCGGGGCAGAGCAACTCTGCCTGGGGCTTCCTGTAGTCAGCGCTG